TGAATTAACTAGGCTTGTGAACACAATAAAATCTTAGTTCAAGAAAAAACTTTAAAAAATACATATTATGAAGAAGATTTAGCACTCAATGGCAAAAGACCATTTCAAAAATGGCTTCTTTTTAGCCTAGTCAAAAAGAAGTGAAGTACTTCTCAGGTGGCCTTAGCTAAAAGAGTCTGGTGAGGTTTGGATTGACCAGGGATCCTAGATAACATAAAATATACCAGGATAACCATTATGCCACCAACAACAAAAAGAAAAAAATCAAGCAACCCAAACTACTACTGTGCCTTTTTTGAGTAACACTTTAAAACAATGTTTCTCAAAGTAAGGTCCCCAAACCCAACATCAGTATCACCTAGGAGCTTGTTAGAAATGCATATTATTTACTGCCCTCTGGGACCCACTGAATGGGAAACTCTGGGGTGCAGCCCAGAAGTCTGAATGAGCCCTCCAGGGGATTCTGACTCACTGAGAACCAACAAGCTAGAGATGTCCAAGGTCTTTTACCTTACAGCAGGGATTTTGTTCTCCCACTGCTCTTATATCAGCCCTAGGAAAAGGTCCAGTTATACAAAAAGACCCCTGGATACATATTGGTACAGTGAATACACACACAGAAATTCTGAGTGACATGGGTCCCTCATAAATTCTATATGGCTGAGAAAATATCACTTTGTAGACAATTACTCCAATTATTATGCTCAGTTGCTCAACTGTTGGCTCCATAATGATTCCAATGTTGCAAATATTCTAACCAAGTCCATGAACATAAAAATATTCTAACCAACTCAAAGAATTAACATTACAGATTAAATAATTACTCAGCAAGTCACTAAACTATGTCCCAAACTAGAAAGGTCAGAAATTATTGAGAATCACTATGTGTGAGATTTCTTTTTTGTATTATATTAAAAAAACAAATTTGTAAATCTAAGCAATGTTTGATACAGACTGACACTATCTAATAATCTGCAAATACCCTGATGAAAAATTAACTGAAATTATTCTGGCAAAATATACAATACAATAAGAGTTCTCTATTTTCACATAACATGAATAATTTGAAGAAAATAAGTTTAATTAAGCATACAAAAACAAAACTGTAGGTAACATAGTGATATATTTACACAGCTCTTCTGAACTCAAAAATAGACCTAAAATCTCATTCACTGAAGTGCATCTGGGAGACAATTTGCATAAAAGATAGAACAAGGAAGAACATGTCTTAGAAATCCACTCAAAGACATAACATAAAACGTAATAAACCACTGTGGTCACTCATTTAAGAGTCTGATACTACCTCAAACATATTTTCTACCTTAAACTGAGATGTATATTTAAAAAATGTGGAGTTGAATCTGTAATGGCAATTTCAAAGCTAAAAACTTTTAGATATAAATACCAATTCAAAGTTTTCAAACCACCAGCAACACAGTTGGTTATACAGAGCATTTAAGAAATATAAAGTCCATTTACACTATTACTGACGCAATGCAGGACCGTTGTATTTAATGAACAAAAAAGACATTTCTTATTAACTATAATTTTTAAAAATAAGAAAAATTAAATAGAAAAAAGTCATATATTCAAGCTACATATACTTTTTTACTTTAAGGAGATTTTTAATGTATTTTTTCTATTCCCCTCATACCCTCTTCCACTTCCACCCACCCCCCTACCACCTAAGTACACTTTTTAATTCTACCTAAACCTACTATTTCGAATCTTAATTTTCAGACAGAAATACCTCAAATGAAATTTAGGTGACTTATATTCTATGAAAAAGAACTAAATTTTTATTTACATGTACAAGCAAATTCAGTGCTTTAACTCAGAGAGAAAAAAAACAGTAATGTTAACTTAGCATTTTTAAATAAACAAGTTAACAAAACAGTGTCTGTTGCAGACGAAGCAGGTGGTAGAAATAACAGTAATTCAAGCAATAAAACAACACACTTGAAAAGGAATTTTTAAACTAAAATTATGAACTTAGCTAAATTACTTTAAGGGCTGCACTATCCTCCATCTAGAAAGTACAGGTTTCTCTTACTGAAAATTAAATATTACAAAACAAAGTACAAACTACCAGGTAAATAAAAATATTATTGAATAAGAAGTTTCAACCAAAAAAAAAACAAAAAAAAAAAACCTTACATATTTATAATCTAAACATGGTTTTATAGAAAAAGACAAGTGGTTAAAAAATATTCCCAAAATAACAACACAACACTCTGATTGGACCTTTAAATATTCAGTCTTGTAATTCAAACTTCAATCATTAATAGTTATAAGTAATCAAAGAAACCAAAATTTAAAACTACTTTTCCTACATTTAGAGGCAGTGCTTTTGACAGAAAAAAATAAAGAGCTAACACCATATGTAATGCATAAATCCTGATTTTAAAGTTCAGATACTATAAAAATAGTGAAATTCTTTACTATTTCCCCAAAGTGACATTCCATAAATTACTTGACCATATTCAACTGGGAAACTGTAAGTCTACTTATTTTACACAACTGGGAAAAGCAGTATGTAAAGTAAGCACATTGAAATTGTTTCCTATTTTTAAAAAATTAGCAATGAAGGGTGATGAAAAGGAAACACTGTTCTTGTTAAATATGAAAGTACTGTTTATTTAACCATGATTTGTTTACCATGAAATAAACCCATACTGGGCTATACAACTAGAAACTTACTTTAAAGAAGTTTTCCCATCCACAACCAACCAAAAATAAGCCCGAATCTAAAAATATCTGTCTACAAAGTTAACGCAGGGAAACATCTACAACACCATCTAGGAGTTAGGTATGTGGGTGTTCACTAGCTTATTCTTGAAAATAAGAAGTCTGACTTTTTAAATCATCACTATCCTCTCAAATTTCAGGAATCTATTTTAACATATTATTAGCTATTGTAACAAAGCTCTTCACACGCACAAAACATTTAAATACCAAAGTACTCCACAAGAAATTTTCTGTTATTGAAAAAAAAAAATTTCCTTTTATTTCTGACTAGTCCCATTTGACACTAAATTTCAAACCTTTTAAAGGTTTAAACATACATTTGACCATGTTCTTCCACAAGGTATTTCCTTTCAACCACATATTTAGGATTTTCTCATTCAAAATGTAGATTATAATTTTATCAACCTAATCCCCATTTTTTAATTAGTGACTGTTGATCCTTCACACTGATATATAGCAATTATTAGACTTTACACATAAATACCAAGTTACTGAAATATTCAAGTATGATTAAAACATAAAGGTGTAATTTCAATTAGTATTTGAGAAACAAGATCCATTTCAGATGCTGTCCACATACTGATAATTTCTATTTCTACTAAATTGCAATTCCAACTGAAACAGTAATTTCTTCCCTAACATTACAGATATTCTAAGTAGAATTAAAAAACAAATATTTCATTTCTTCCACTGAATGGTCAGCACTGATTTTAAATAGAAAAATCCAAAAACTTAAGGAAGAATGACAAAATATGCTTTATGTGAACAAGTGAACAAAAAGTCCTTCAAAGAAAAACTGGATCTATCAAGAAAATCAATGTTTTTATTTTCAAAATAAACGAAAACAGGGAAATTCTGAATAAATACACTGCTAAAATAAAACAATTAGAAAAAGAATGTTCCTTTATTTTATGCATATTAATTACATATTAATAGCATATGGAACCTAAAATCCTGCAGACTTTTAAACTCAAGCGTTTCAAATCATGACACAAAAATAAACATAATATTGTTATAACACTAAAATTGTTTTATATTACCTTTTTATGAAAAGAATTATGGTAGCATATATGACAAACTTACACTTATTTAGAAAAGCTAAATTTTTTATTTTTGTATCCACCACCTTTAAGCAAATGACATTCAAATATATTCCTTAATATACTAATTCACAAGAAAAAAATATTGACTGAACCAGTCACGAAGGTGTTTAATGCTACGTGAACACTAAAAACTGAATAGCTAGAAGTTCACAGATGCTCCACTTGACTGTCTCCCAGAAGCTGACTGTTCCCAGGGTAAACTTGGTAAGTACTGGAACAAGGATTTTCTTGATGCAGGGGAAAAGCTGTGCAGAACTCTTTTCCTGGAGCCAGAGCTGAGCCGGACACCAGAATGTTCAGCAGATTAGCACACATCTTTGTGCACTGGCTTGCAAATGTTCTTGAATGAAATCTTACAGAATTCCATAGCCTTGACCAAACATAGCTTGGTATTAACATTAAAGGATAAAGTTCCTCCCAATCTCAAATCAGCTTTGAAGCAAAATACAAAGCTAAAAATTACTTAAGAATTATATGAACAAAAATATAGATGATGGGGAAAGTATAGTTAGGTGCACTAGATAGTACTTTAAAATTATAGCTAATGTTAAAAATTCCTCGTACTGCAATTAATGTTCAAATTAAAACAAATCCCACTCCCTGCTAACTCATACTCATGGAAACGCAATGAGAATAGTCTTTGACTACTATTTTTACAATCTCCATGAATGCCAAAAACAAAAGCCTGTGAATGGTGCAAATTTTAGAAAATAATTTCATCCATACTGTTGTATCTAAAAAAAAAAAAAGTAAAACATGAAATAGTACATAAGAAAAATTAAATTGGTACAAAAGTCACCCCAATTAAGCTTTACACCCAACTGCTTTTATGCAAGATTTTAGAGTATTAAACAAATTGATTTCTTTCCAAAGTATGCCTTCCAGCAAAAATCAGAAGCCATGCAAAAATAGTGATATTTACATACTGTTCATTTTAAAATAGCACATTATTCTTTAAAAAAATGTTAAAAGCATGATATAGTAACACTGAAATGTTATGTGAGAAATAACTATGCTGTGATCAACAGCTGAGTTAGAGTTACAGTTTAAAGATATAATTCCTTAAATGTAATTTTAATTAAACATGGCTAACAAAATTTTAAATACAGCAAGGACTTTGTTTTGGAATAAAATTTATAATGTCATAAAACCAATTTCTCCCTAGTATTGAAAATCAAACTTCAAAATACATATTCGATAGTAGAGGGATATAATATGATTCCAATTACCCGAGTCTTTCTCAAGGTAATTCTATTTTTTTGAAATCACTTTTTGAACTTGTATTCCTTGGAGACAAATACACCTAACCTGTCAGACAAGTTTTACTGGAGACTTACCAACTACTGGAAAATATTTGCAACACTGCAGAGTCAAGCCATCTTTAATACTTCTAGAAACCAACCTTCTCTAGTAATGTCTTATTTCTTCTAAATCACATAGTAAATCCTGATTTAACATCCAATCAAACAGTATTGTTTGATTTTAAAGAAACTTAAGGGTAAGATTTAGATAATGACACCAAATAAATGGCAGATAGGATTAAAAACAGACCATTATTTCATAAGCAAGAGATTTGCCTTCAAACGGTTTTTTTTTTCCAAGATTGAAAGATTTATTTGAAAAAAATCAGCACAGGACATAGATATCCTTAATATTCCTCTTGGAATATCCGAATATTCAGAATCTATATGAAATTTGACACCAACTCTGGTTTCACAGAACACAATGGTTTACACAGATATAAACTCCCAGGCCCAATCCCTTACTGACATTAGCTTTCACTAAGCTGCTATCTTCAGTGCTACTTGCACAAACTAAAAAACAGAAAATCTATTTTCATTTTTAAATGGCTGGGATTAGTTAAAGCAACCCAAATACTACTGTTACAGCAAAGTTTATTAAAACTCTAAGAGAATACCACTAATAACATTTGTAAATTATCCAAAATTATTTCTTTATTGAAGTAACTACATAGATTTCACAGTACTATGGAATATTTATATTTATCTAAGGTCACAAACACATTTTAACATTCACAATGATGAGCATAAGCATTACGATTCTAATCTACAAAGCTCATGAATAAAGAAAAATACAAAAAAACCTTAAGTTTTACAAAAGAAATACTTTAAATCTACATACATTAACAATAAAACCATTTCTTCCAAGGTAACAGGTTAAAGTGTAAAGGCATACCACTGAATTTGTTTTTTCCCCTCTAAATAGCTAGGATTTAGAAATGTTTAATATCTACGACGCTTATTAGGGCCTTCAAAGTTGCCCCCTTGACTTCCTCTACCAAAACCACCAGGACCACCACTAACAGGACCTACACCAGCAATGGGTGTTTGAGGGGTTTCAGAACCTGTTCTACTACCCATAGGTGATCCCATCTGAGATGGTGGTCCTTGCGGAAATCTATCATTGGGCTAGAATACAACACAATAAATATGAAGTCCATTTGGAACACGCCAAATATAAGTGACAAGAAAAATTGGCAAAATCCCAAGTGGTGATGTCATGAAGTTCAGCAGAAAGTCCAGCAGAATCAGGATCATACATAGAAGGAAGAAAGGAGCAATTTAATTAGTTACTATTTTTTTTAAAAAGCATCTGAAGAGTTACATATTGCTACTAGTCCCAATTTCATAAAGAATGAACTGATTTCTTTGAAGCAAATGCCCTCTTAAACCTAATCAATATTATAGCACTATTCTGATATTCTTTTATAAAAATTTGCATGTAACCATGGTGTATTAAAAAATATTTTCAAAAAATCAGAGATAAAACTGAGGAGCAGCACCACATTCAGAAAGTAAACAGAGTTATTATGAAATCTTTTGAGATGTTTTTCTGGAAAAACTATTATTGGTAAAATACAGTTTTTTTAAATCAACAACTTATTAACATGTACTATTACCAGCACAATTAAACATCTGAATCATATACTTGGAAAAATTTCACAGTAATAACCACATGTATTATTTTCAAAAACTAAATAGAATCCCTTTGTGCAGTAGTAAAACACCATTGTAAAAAAAAAAAAAAGACAATATTTAAATAAAGTTTACAATTTCAGAGGGAGAGTTGGAAAAATGGGCCACTTAAAGTACTTCAAAATTACTACCAATGATTATATTGCTATGCAAAAATTTAACTAAAGTGGTTTAAGTTTTTACTAGCTTTCAGACATCTCACTGTAAAATTAAGCCTCCATGGAAGGAAACACAGTACACTAATTATAATGCGCCATCTGTCATAGTAGATATGACAGCACTGCCCTTTTATCTCCCTGTTCAAACACTCATTTTAAAAAAAAAAAAGCATGTCTAATTTTTCCAAATTCATGGAAGATAGCATTTAAAGTAAATAAATTTTAAAATTCTAAATTATTGCATCCATCAATTCTAAGATACACATTCACTTTTAACATCTCTGCTACCAGGAAGGAGTTACAGCTAATGGCATGACTGAGTTTCATTTGCAGTGCTTTTTCTTTCTTAGCATCAATGGCGCCTTAAGATTTTTGTAGTAGTTCCAAAACTAAACTGTCTTTTCAAAATATATAATCAACCAATCTTCCTTTTTTAAATGGTATTTAGAATAACCATTAACAAAAGCCAAATCAGAAAACGTTTAACCAATATAAAGCTTCATTTAAACACTGATAGATATGAGGGAAATGAAACAGGTATCAGGTCTTGCTATGAAATTCAGATATAAGAATTACTACTGAAAAACATTTTTATAATATTTAATGCACACAAAGATATCTTCACACTCTGAAACCAAGACATAAAATTGTTTACTTTTAAGTTAGTAACAAATGTAATTAGTAATTCTACACTATGAGGAAAAGAATTTTAAACTATAATGTAAACTATTTTACAATTAAATTCTCTGAAATTAACAAGTGATCTTCTTCTTAGAAATGTTTACTAAAAATTGTTTTTTCACATATATTGGAGTTTTGTCCACACCAAAGATAAGGAGTCCACAAAGAAATGGAATATAATCATAAAATATTTGAATGCTGGGAAGAAAGAGGTGGATACAAATTAAAAGCACTGTAAAAATAACTGTAATTAACGTGTTTGCTACATGCTTAAGTAGAAAGCATGCCATGGATGGTAATTATAACTTTCTCAGGATACTTAAAAATAAACCTTTCATATCAACATATAATGTCACAAGATTACTTTTTATTCATTGTCCATTGATCTTTACTGCCAAAACAAATGATGCCAAGTTATCTTAAGTGTGAAGTTACCTTTGGGGCAGAGTAAATATTATTTAATATAATCAAAATAATGTTTATGATACATTACCACTGCTCCATTATCTGGCATCATTGGAGTTCCCATATTTGCAGCTCCTTCTGGTCCCATGGCAGGACCAGGACCCATTGGTGGGCCAGGTATAGTTCCTCTGTTGTTCATATTCATACTCATCATTGGAGGAGGACCTTGGTTACCAGCAGGTGCTGGGCTAAACGCATCTACGCAAAACAATCTATACTTAGAGCTGTCCTATCTTAGTTCAGTAAACATTAAAAATGTAACAACACTTAGGCAAGTATATAGACCACATCATCAAAATCATTTTCCCTCCTTGAGAATGGGACACTCAATTATCTACTCTGTTAACAGGCTGTTGCCTACACTAATTTTCATTCCAAAAACAAAAAGTGTCTAAAACAAGTGAGACAACTATCAATTATTTCAGAACATTTGAGACTGTAGTAGCTTGAGAATTTTTTAAAAATCTGTATTATTTGCTACAGTCAGCTTTTTAACAAAACATTCCCTTTACAATGGTGACTAAATTCTACCAGTTTAAATTAACAGATTTAATTAAAAGATTAGCACTTAGAAAACCACTAAATTTTCTTAAAGTTATGGCTAAAAATATTAACACGTAAATTGCATTAAGTTGTGAGAGGAGAATCCATTCCCTCCAATATATAAAATTCACTGTAGCTTTTATAAAGTTACAGAACTTCTCTCAAAATTACAGGAGGTATTTTACATAGAAATATATAACCTAAAAAAAATTGAAATGACTGAATATGACAAAGCTTATTTTTAAAAACTGCAACCAAATACAAATTAAAACTACATTTGATTGATTTTTAGATTTTTCAATATGCTGAAAATTCCACAAATGGGAATAAGCGAGTATACTTCAAACTTTTTCATCAGAAAGACATACCCCTGGCCTCACGTTAATTGCAAGTGTTTGAGCTGTAATACTAAATTTATAATGGCCTCAAACATGGTATTTTTAGGTACCTTCCCCAAATTTTTTCATTTTTAAACTCTTCATATATTTGTTTAGCATCAAAAATTCATTACAAAGATTGACTCCAACTTTGAGTTTTCTTCTAGTATTTTATTAGGTAGGCAAATTTTATGAGTCTGAAATCAATTCCTCAAAAAGACATAACAGCAGTTGAAGTTTTCACTGAAACACACAACTCTACACAGTAACTTATGTAGCAGAACTTCATAAACGGCTGAGTCCAAGGAGTAGCTGAGAGGAAAAGTCTTACTCCCAATCAGTTCCTGGCAAAACACTGCTCTTTCTGAACCCAAACCCCAGGAATCTAGCAACTTCATAGGGAAGAAATTATTTCCTTAGTCCCTAAATGTTCTTACTAATAAATATATAACTTTAACTATCCAAGAATATTTATATTCCCTTAGCATAACTATAAAAATAAATGTTAACAGACTTCCAGAATGTCTCTCACAATGGAAATAAGAAACAGTGAACACACTACCTAGGAAGAATCAACCTTACCTCAACTTTCCCAAAAACAGATCAAGGATTAGGTTTTTAGTTTTGGTTTTAATTTTTTTTTAATAGAACCTAACTGTTACATCTAACTCGTGGGATTCTATGGGTATAGTAAAATAACAAAAAAAAAAATAAAAAAAAAATAGCATTTCCCACCATCAATAGCTGAAATACAGTCTTATTTTTAAGAATTACATCTTCTACCACAGAGCTATAATTAAAGTGAATTTAAAGATCTATTCTAAGGAATGTTAGAATTATTTGTTCCCCTGAAAAACAGTTCTTCATAACCTGTATTTCACTTGGTAGGTACACTGGTAATAAACCAGGAAATCTAAGGACACTTTCTATCAATGTAACTTGACAGGATGTGACAATTTACTGACAATTTGCTGACTCATCAGCAACAAACACTCAACTGCTTAATGACCCATAACTCCAGTAAACCACTAGGATAGAGTCTCAGGTTAAATAGAGCATAAAGAGGAGAAAATTAAATGAATTAGACTTCAGAGAATTGAGTAAATACTCGAACGTAGATATGGTCTTCTGGTGAATAAAATGCCATTAAAATTTTAATTGTCTTCAATTCCTTACTAAATAAGAAATCTAAAAGCATAGTCTCATATTTCTTCTGATAACACTGTTAATCAAGCAGTCAGAATGTTTTGGGTCTCTTGCAACATGAGAAATATCTGAAGTTTGGTTCCTACATTAATGTCAATCTAATAATTATAATGGCATTTCAAATCACCTATAATCCATAATGACCACAACACATCCTTAAAAACCACATGGACCATCCCAGTTTACTTTGAAAAAGACAAATACTGAACTACTTGTATTTATTATATATGCCATTGTCTTTCATAATTTACAATTTTTACAATTTATTTACTCCACTGATTATTTTGTATACCCATCATATTAACTAACAATGAGGCTGTTTCTGGGTAAGGGCTGTGTTTCATGCTTATTTTACATACCAGAGATGCTCATTTACTACTTTGGCGGATAAGAAAAGTGACCAAATGAACATCAATAAACGATTTTAAGATCAACTGACTGACAGTGGCAAAGAAACTGTCATAGAGGAAAGAAAGAAGCTGATCATGGAAAATACTGATTCCACACATTAGATGCTATAAGATTTTTTATTCAATACACTATGCAACCTAAGTACAATCTGGATTTTCTCAGTTGGTATGCATGTTATGCAAATGGAAATGTTAAGGCACTGTATTCTTTACAGTAATAGATACATTTCAATTATGTAAAGATTTTAACCTCGTGACAGCTTCAGTGGGAAAATGTATAAGGAATCTATAAAATTTAGTTATTTATCTAACTTCTTTAAGGGTATGACATTTCAAATTTAATAACACTTAATGAAAAACTTCCACACTTATTTTTCCCTAGCTTTTTTACTTGGTGCTATTTCCCTAACAACCTGGTTATAAGCCAATCAATATTAAAGATGTTAAATATAGGAATTTTCTTAAAAAAAAAAAAAAGAAAACCCAAAGCTTTCTAACAACTCTAAAGATATGCATTAACCTAAATGTACAAGGCACATCTCATTTCCTTGACAAGTCATAAATGTCTCCAAACAGCACATTTCTGTGCATAACACTGTAGGTTAGGGCAAAACATTAGACATTTAGTAAAATGAATAAAATTAGCTACACAAAGAGTTACCTTAAAACAGAAATTTATAAAATACTCCTAAAAAGTTTAGAAACACTATAACCCCAAAAATACCCAATTTCCAAGGTAAGAAAGCCAATTTGAAGGCATAAAATTTAATTTTAAAATATTATACCACACAATTACTGAACAAGTTTAGAATTTTATCAAAACCTGGTTACAGGTTTCTTTCATTAAATCTATTAAACGTTAGCATATCTGTTAGTCTTTAAATAAACGAAATGAAAAAGTTCTTCCTAGGCATATGTTTTTTATATACTTGTATTTTTCAATTTAATAAATGTAAGAAATTTCACCATTAAAATGTTGATTCCAAATTTTAGTTTGTTACTGACATGTAGATACCACAAAAAGCATGTACAGTTCCCCAAAGAATTACAAGTAAGTTATAGAAGCCTTTTGCTTCCAATCCCTACCTCCCATGTTTATTGCTCCACGGGGACCCATATCACCCATTCTCATTTCCTGTTCTCTCTGTAAGTAAACATAGTTGTCACAGTCAACCTATCGATCTTATCACATTTCCCATCTAAAATCAAAAAGAAAAGAATAAATTGGGACATCACTTTTCATTTAAAAATTTTAATTTTCCAACATCTTTTACTTAATAAGAACACACTGAAAAGAAACTTCGGTCTCCCAGGTTTAACATACTACTACAATGTTTAAAGCACCCAATTTATAATGCTAGATTATAAGTGAATCAGATTACATAAAATTTACCACAGAATATTTTAAATGTTTTTATTCCAACAGATCAAAGACATAGGCTTGGATTCCAAAGAAAATGGAAAACCTAATAACCATCAGGGCCAATTATTTTTTCCTCCCAGGTCACTAATGTCTTAAAACAGAAATGACTATTACCCTTTTAATATTCAAATGCATTCAAACACACAACACAAACAGCTGTGGAGCACTAAGCTAAAAAGTTATAGATTATTTTCATTTTTGAAATACTGTAATTCATGCTTGCATTTTTATCCAAGTACTGAAGCATTATTTTACCCAGGACCTATCGAGGTCTACCATAAAAGCCTACGCTACACATAAGAAATTATTAAACATTCAGCATAACATCCCTTCTCTTACACAGTTGGAAAGTTCTGAAACAAAATGCTCTTGAGGTTAACTATGACACAAAAGGTCATACAAATCTAAGAAATATCTTAAATTTGAGTACAGACACTGCTTCCTGAAAAAGTCTTCATTTAGTAACACCAACCATAGAGAATTAACTTCAATGAATTCTCTTGGTGAAATGATTCAACATACTATAGCTGCAATTTGCACTATTGTTTGTTCATCTTTCCCAATAGGAGACAAGTGTGTTAAATGTAGTGAACCTAAAAAATATTCTCAGATAAAGGTAGCAATGCCCAAATATAAAGAAAGCATGTTTCTACTGTTAAAAGCAATTTTATTGAAGTGTTTAAAATTCCAGTTAATATAAAATACTGGTGAAAAGCACCTAAGAGCTAGAAATAGAAGAAATACAAGCCTATGATGGATAAATAGCACTAAGCAACGAATAACTACCTATTTAACCTTATGGAGATGCCTCAAAAGGTAATCTTTAATTAGGTTCCAGTACAAGAACAATATCAACTTGCATACTATCTTGAAGAAATGTTACATTATTTACAGAATTTAAAGCCAAACCTTTCCCTGAGCTATTTTCTAACTTTCCTAAAAATAAAAGTCTAACAAAACTTTTGATTTTTAATGGATATTCATACTGACCACCAAAAAAAAAAATAGTATGTTATAGAACTGACTACTATATTAATTTTCCAATTATATGGAAAATACTATCTAAAATCATACTTAGCACTATTTTCAATAAATCAAACAAGACGTCATGTCCAAACATACTAATAAAGTGTGGACAGCATCAGCATACCTAAAATCTCCCAGGTATTATTTATATAAGGTATTTAATATGTGGATTTTATAATAATGACATTCTGAAGGGGAGAACAAGAGTTTTAAGTTGTATTTTTACTTTTTTATTTGCCTTAACTGTAAAAGATTAGAAGAGCAATACCTAACGATTAACGAAGTAATTATTATACTCTCACTGTTTGAAACTTCAATTTTCAAATCTCCCTCATATACCCTAACACCTAACTGAATGTCTGATTCACTGGTGGGAGCAAGGGAGAGAGACTACCATCTCTATTGTCTTTTTGTAACTTCAGTTTTACCTATACCTATCACTTTCTGAACAGTGTTTAGCTTTATTATACACAAAGCTAAGTATTTTTTAGAAATTATTCTTAAAATCTTCTATTATTCCATTTTCTTCATTAACAGAATTTTGTCGAGAACATTAATTAACATACTGAAGAGGTCTATAGTTTTAAGTCAATTATTCAACAGTGGCTATATTTTCCCTTCCTGATACTCTATTATATACTTGTTCTAGTTCTAAAATATATTTCTTTAAATGAAATAATGAGAATGCCTTACAATAGTCCATGCTGAAGTAGAATATCACTGTATTAAAATAATTTATATTGGACCAGTATAGCATGTTTCACAAAATATACATACATTCAATTAATTTATTAATGTTGACATTTCCTTACAGAATATCTTTTGGTATTATGTTACACTTTACTCATAAGACTTTTAAAAGATGACAGACCATTTTTAAAGTATTTTAGATGGAACGAAGTTTTCACCTAATTAGTCATGTCTTAAGGTTACTGTTTCTATAAATCCACTGCTATATACTTCTAGTAAAATAAGAGGCAGAGATTTTGCTTAAGGGTAGTGTTATCAATGGAAATTAGTATAGCACTCTTTATTATAACTTGATATATCAAATATCAATAAGGAAAAGCACTTAAAGAATTTCATTATAACAGTGAAGCAATACACAAGGCTTTCACTTCTCCTATGAATGATTTCTAATATATTTTAGATTAGAACCGGCACATAATATGTATATGTGATAGTTTTTTAAAACAAGTATTAATGCTGCTTTATTATATTAGCAAAAATTAAGAGTTGTTTAACATGTTTAACATGAAATAAGCTATGTGTAAACAAAATCTCAAAAGACTACAGTGCAATGAAATGATAAAGCAATAATGAAAACTTAAGTAATCCTCAGAGCAACCCTGCAAGAAGGTTTATTGTCATCCTGTTTTAGAGATCATATTATTAAAGCACAGAGCTGTTAAATAACTTACTCGAGGTCATACATATATAAAGTGGTTGTGCTGACCTATAAAATTCTGCCAAAATAAGAGTCCGTGAAATTTTCACATTCATAAGATACCTTCATTTTTTAAGAATTCCAACAAAAACAAAAGACAAGATTTTAAAACTTATTCTTACGACATTTATAAAAAGGTATGACTTTCTATTAAGAGTTATGCATTGGTATTACTGACAGCTTGCCACTGAAGAAAGTTTAATTCACAACTGACCAACAAGTTAAGCAAGTATGACTGATTTTCAGAACTACATATCAAAGCAGTATTCCATTCAAAGAGTTCTTGAAGTGTGGCTTATGGAATACTCAGTCTCCAATAACCTTTCGGGGAGTGTACATATCTGAAGCTATTTCATTTACTATTACCAACAGAACATAGTCTTAAAGTTATAATCTAATCATACTTTTCACTTGACATTACTGGATGGTGCAAAAGGAATGGCAGGCTAAAATCCTGGTGTTTTAGCACAAATCAAAAGCACTTGCATTCAATATTCTACTAGAAATCATTGTATTCTTCACATGCAATTATGAATATCTAGATGAATAAGTAAAAAAAAATATTAGTTTTATTAAATCACTATCCTTGGGTGCATCTCTTTTTGAATATTTTATGCAACACAGAATATATACATAAAGCATGTCTGCTGCATTATGAAGTAGGGTGATTATTTCAAGAAAAACAGTTCTTGTAATTGGATTGCAAATTGAAATGACACACTTTCTTACTGGGACAAGAACTTACTTGAGATAGCACTGGACAGGCAGATCTTCCCAGACATTTTCTGATGAGATCAGTGATCAGTATTAAGATGTGGTTTTTAATTTTGTATAATAAAATGCATTAACATTTGAAGTATTAGTGTAACTTGATAAATCAATATTCTTCTAATGTTGGGTACATCACATTACAAAAATCATGCCAGGGTAAGAGACCCATTCAAATTCAAAGCAGACCAATAGATTATAATGCAAAAGAGTACTTCCAAGAAACAAAATGCTTATCAAGTTTTACTACAGTGTCAAACAGGAATATCCACAATTACCAGAAAAGGTTAAAACATATTTCCAGTGTGAAGTCAAGATTTTTTTTTCATGTATTTTAACCAAGAGTATTGCAAATTGCAATTTAAAAGCAAGTAGGGGGAGCCAGCCATTTTCCGTAAAGCAAAACATTAAACGAATTTACAAAGCAGTAAAAAAACAAAAAACAAAAAAACCCACTTTTCCCACTACATTGCAGTTGAGCATTAAAGAAATTTGAAAAAAAAAAAAGTGTAAAATAAGCCCTGGCTGTTATGTCTTAGTGGGCTGAGCACTGGTCTATGAACTGATTCCCAGCCAAGGCATATGCAGGCCAGGTCCCAGGTTGGGAGCGTGCATGAGGCAACCAATCTCTGTTTCTCTTCCTCTCTTTCTCCTTCCCTTTACCTCAAATAAATAAATCCTTTTAAAAAACATTTAAGTGTAAAATAAGGTCATTCTTCCCAATAAAATCCATTTTCTTTCAGTATTTTTTAAAACTTCTAACATGGTAAAACACTGACATAATCTAAAGAAAAGCTCACTGGGATCCTCAGTAATTTTTAAGCCTGTAATTTCAAAACCAAAAAGTTTGAGTAACATAAAGTAGCAGAAAATTTGCACTACTGTAAATTAACTAAAGCAGTATATACCAAAGTGGAGAATTTGATGCTGCTTAGTGTAATGTACAGACTTTTTCCCTTTAATATTTAGGGTATCAATCTGAATTTTAAACATGGTGTATTTCTTTTTCTAGGTAATCTAATTTAAAGGTTTTACACTGCACATAAACAAGGCTAAAATAAAGAATAATATGAATGCCTAAGGTTTAGGAAACAATGAAGTAAATAAATACTTAACATATATCAATTGGGGCAAGATTTTGTGATCAGTAACAAAGTATGTTCATCTAACACTGTGATCAATCTAAACTCTTGTTTGAGTGAACTCAGTTAATAACCATAATCATTACTCTTCATTAATTCATAAAGACATCTCATGTATGTCCCTAAAAAGACTGGGGATTAGCCCTGGCTGGTGTGGCTCAGTGGATCGAGTACAAGACTGCAAATGGCTGCAGGTTCGATTCCCAGTCACGGCACACACCTAGGTTGTAGTCCAGGTCCCCTGTAGCAAGTGTGCAAGAAGCAACCACACACTGAGGTTTCTCTCCTTCTCTTTCTCCCTTTCTTCCCCTCTCTCTAAAAATAAATAAATAAAATCT